TGAAAAAGCTATGTTGTATTTCAAATCATACTATCGCCTTGATGAGCAACAGCCTTCATTGACATATCACACATCTTAATGCCACCCCAATTCACTTGACAAATGTTAGTAAATTCTGATCTCATCTAGTTTCTATGATTTATAAATATCTCGTGATCCTCAGTCATTGCAAACTGCATCCTTTAAAATGAGTCAAATGAAGCAACTGTGTTTATAGTAGATATTGAATACTATACTAACCTTTTTAAATGCAAAGTGGCTGCTTCAGTCATGCTGCTTTTTCTCCAAAACAGAGATCACATGGTAGAAAAGAAAAGTCAGAAACTGAGAAATAACAGGGAATGTCTTTTTTAAGAAAATGTCAACCCTGCATGAAGATTGTGCACAGTGGTTGGGGAGAGTGCAAGAGGGACTCCGACAGCATAATGCAGGAATTTGAGTGCGTCGCCTCATTGACTACAGCACTCAAAAGGATTAGTAGCACATAGAAACCTTAGCTTTCATCTTCCAAAGAAAAACATTTTGATAACCTTCACTGCTTACTTCCCTGTGTGTTTATTTTTTATTGTATTTACACCATATGTTGCTTTTTCAGTTCACACTTAATGATAAAAAAATAAACATAAGGTTCACAGTTTTTTGACTCGGAACTTAAAATGTTGTTTCTCCTCAGGTATAATCACACATAGCACGAGCACAACTGTAGCTTCTATTGTGGGAAGCTAACTTAACGCCGCAGCATCTCACCTGGTGTAAACACCCTCCGGCATGGAAACCGAACAGCAGGACAATTATGGTAGAGACAGCAAATGTCTCAAACTACGCCTTCTATCAGGTTTTATTTATTTTGGCGGCATCCAAAAGCTGGAAGGTTTTTTTAGTTAATAAATATAGTAGATTGTATTTTGTTAATAATTTTAATATAGCTGGCTTTCTTTAAACAAGATTCATCATTGTAGGATTTGAAGGACTAAATAATTACCATATTTGACTGTGTTAAAGCCCAGTGAGAAATTGCAGAGTGGTAAGTTTTTAAAAAAAAAACACTGTTGGGAAACAACATTTCAATTACATGCAGGTTGGAAGACAATTAATCTATCCTTTAAGCTGGCAGGCAAGGTGTCATATTTGTTTGCATGGAGAAAAGGCCCAAGTTAAGGGTGCACACAGTGAGCATAGGGAACATAAATGAATTACATAATTGTGCTGTAGGGTATATAGAAAGAAAACACAAATGAGAAAATGATAATATTTGTTCTTCTGTTTTGGCAGTCTCCTGCCTGAGGCCTGCGTGTGAAGTTCTATGCAGTACTGCAGCAAAAACTTTCTATATACGACTGTCCTGAATACATAAACAGAAATATGGAGGTAAACTGAATGGGTTTGTGTTTGATAAAAAATATGGCACTTGCCATAATATTTAAAATTTGACACTATTGTATTAACTGTAAGGCAGTACTTTTGAATGAAAAAGACCTTAAAGGACCCAAGGTGTTTTTTTAAAGATTTCCCCCAGCAATAACTTAACAAAGGGTATGTACATGTAACCCCCTTCAGCTATGCCCATTTCTTTGGTTTAAATTGAAGTCTTTGCCTCCCTCCCAGTGCATCTAAAACACTCTCCAGATGTTTGAGCATTAGTTTTCTCCATACCAAAAAACATCACTCGTTTTTATTTTTTGTTGCTGTTGAGCTCACTCTACCCTGCGGCGACCTGGACACACTCCTGCTTCCCCAAAGGTGGAATGACCTTCTCACCTCTGTTGTCAGGACAGCGTTGTCACTCTGTATATTTATCTAAATCCTGTCTCTTCAACAAAAACATAATATACCCCTGTTTTCTATCTATCCTCCTCTGTACCACAAATGTCATTGTCTGCTTCCAAATGTTCATCCTCTGCTTGCATTGCTCTCGCATCTGTCTTGTCCTATGAATATTTATAGTATGACTTTGAGCTTTGCATCTGTTACCATTCTTGATCTATGGCTTTGCACATTTTTACCCTGTATAAGAACACACAAATGTGTTGCAAAATGAATTTAAATGTGAAAGGAAACATTAGAATTAGTATGAGGAACTTGGTTTGCCTTTCACAGATGTTTGATTTGTGCAATTAGAAGTTGATTCCATCACTTCACACTGAAAAACAAATGTATTTGTAGTGACGCAATGTACATGCCAATTAAGCAAGAGGGTTTTTTTAAAATGTACTTTGTAATACTTTTGTAGTGGAGTTAGTGGAATAGGTTAAGCATTATCCGATAATAGACTGTTCATTGTGTTGGGTTATTGAGCTTTAGATATATTTAAAAAACACATCTTGAATACATCTCCAATAACAATATACCACAATTAAAAACCACACTGACACTAATTTACAAAATATCCCTTTAAAATGTCTTCAGACTCCCTTATGTAGCAGCTAATAAACTGCATGTTTCAGATAACAACAAAAGGGTTTGGTAGGCACCCTGAGATGGGAATACAGATATGAGCTGTACCTTCTCAACAATCTACATCTTTCGAAACACAATTCAGTTAAGAGGCAATGGATGTCACTTTTCTGTCAAATGAAATGTGACCAAGTTACCTTACAACTCCTAACACTTCTCCTAATGTGCTCTTGTTGTTTTTGTTTGTTTTTCCACAGTGAAAGCTTTAAAATGTGTCCCTGGTGATTTTTTTTTTATTATAAAACAAATTAACTACATTAATTAAAAATAAAATACCTATGAAATGAAAAGCTGAAATTTGCATAAGTATTTCAGAATGAAGAATAAGAATCCCCACTGCATAAAACTACCACATACTGCATATGATGTAGGAGGCAGAGGAACCTTTTCTATATTGCTTACTGCACATTCAGTAAATGTTTTTTTCCGCTTCCTTTTTCTAGGGGCTGAAGCTTTTCTGACACAGACAGAAGGAGAACATCCTGAACTTGTGTATCTGAGTCCTTTTGATATTTTGAGGCCTGAGGAGCAGCATCTTTTATAGTAAATCGGTAAGACATATTGTTTAAATATGGATGTACTAAGGTGAGGGACTATCTCAAGTTTTAACTGGATATAATTTTTAGATGCAACTGATGTTGGAAATCTTGGATCATGACAACCACTGTGTTTTGAATTGCATAGCAAAGTGTTAGTGTGCATAAAGAATCATCCATGCTGTTGCACTTGACTATTTGGTGAAATTGAACAACTTTTTGCATTGCGATTTAGTCAATATTCTGACATCAGTGTATGGAGTTGTTTTCCCTGTGTGAAGTCTGACTGTCATACTGTTCTGCACTGTGGGTTGCAGTGGTGGAAGATATGCTCACATATTTTACATAAAGGTAACATTTAGGAGGCTCTATTAGCAGAAATGGAATATAATATTCATAGGTATGTTTTCATTAGTATATAATGAAAACAAGAATTGTGTTTTTGTTACCTCAGAATGAGCCTTTTATATCTACAGACTTCCTTCCATGGAGTCCACTATGTTGAACTGCCATGTCTCTACAGTAGCCCAAACATCGGCTCTAGACAGGGGCGGTAACATAGTTTTTCCTTTGCTTTTGGAAGTGGAGAGTGAGAGCTAGATGCCACCACATCCTACACACTGGACCTATAAAGAAATACAAGGAACTTTCATTTTGTGTTGATTCTGGTGCCCCCTGTGGACAGACGCGGTAGTGTTTCTACCACCTTGTTTAGTCTGATTTTGAGGGGAATCCGACTGAGATCCGACTCAGTGAGAAACTATTGTTGTTGAAATACTTATATATATATGTTTATGTATTGTATTTTATATAGTGTAACCCTATAAAGTACAGTGTAAGTGCTATTTATATCTATGGTGAAACATCTGCAAAGCAGTGTAGTAGACTGTATGTTGAGATTGTTTATGTGCACTGTATAAAACTCTTGTTGTACCCCGACAGAAAATCAGGAAAACATCTGGGGGAAAAAAGCACTTTTTTAAAGAATAACTTGGAAAAAGGGTGGTTATTTTTTCCCTCTTTTCTCATTGTAAGAAAGTGTTTTTTATTTAAAAGACAATATCAATGGTGGCTTTACATGCAGCCTATACTGACCTATCCTATAAATTGATATTGCAATAAAGTTATAATGGTTGAACCGCTGCAGCGGTATAGGTGTTATGCAGAATCCTGTATACAACAGCAATAGTAGCTATCAAGGTGTCCTCCAACTGCTACATCACATGCAGAATTTTTTTTTTTTTTTGGAGGGGACTTAAAAATGAAAACAGCCATGTTAACTGGCATGTCATATATGATTTGTTGCCAGTTTTGCTCATGACTTGCTTTGTGTCCATCAGTGACTTAATTTCCTGAATTAACTTATTATGTTCATTACTAAGTTTTTGTTTGTTGTTCTTTGCAGTGCACAACGGTCAGAGCTGGCAGCATGAAGTATATGCTACTGCCACATGTAGGTGTGCAATTCTGACCACAATACTGTCAAACCACATCAGACAGATATTATATATTGTAGACACTTGCTACTAATGTAGCATTCAGTTGAGGCGAGTTGAACTGTTTGAGGCTTTTGAAGTTACTAAAGAGAGGTGTATGTTTACCAGTGGTTACCCAGTTTCGTGAAATATGTCTAAGAGTTTACAGCAGCAGACATTAAAGGATATTACATTTTTCATGAAATATTAATGTACCATTCAGATTGTTTTTAGAGTAACTGCAAAATAGAAACTGCAATGCATGGCTCAGCTCTCCCTCGACGTAAGAACATCTCTAAAATATTTGCTCTGTTAGTGCGGTTGAGAATCACAGAGGAAACGTGTCCTTATTTAGCACTTTAGCAGCAGGTTGTTGATCCTCCAAACTTTAAATAACTCATTATGTGTATTATTCTTCACCACTTTACATAAATTCCACAAATGTAAACAGATGTCAGCCAACAGAAAACCCAGCCATGTATTTCAGTTTCATTTGTTACTTGATACTCTTTAGCTGCACAACCGTCTGAATGTCACATAAAAACCGGAAATACCATTTAACAGGCTTTAGGATCTCGATTTTATTCTTTGTTTGTGCGATCTCTGACTGACTCGTTGTTGTTGAGCGGTGGAGGCGGAGACTGCTTGCTCCTCATGCTCCTGCCGTCCGTGGCAGCTCGCGAAGTCTCTGTCACAAAAAGCCGAGTCACCCAGACGGAGGTGACAATGCGTTTGTACTCGTTCCTGAAATTCCTGTTGAGTAAGCCATAGATGATGGCATTCAGACAGCTATTGAAGTAGGCCATAAAGTAGCTGACCACAAAGAGCCACTCAGGGATACGGGGGGCCACGCGGGACGGATCGATTGCCACCGCCAAGCCAATCAGGTTTAGTGGAGCCCAACAGATGGCGAACAACACAAAGACCACAAACATGGTAATGAAATTCCGCAAGTCACTTGGTCTGAGGCGAGGGCTCTCCTCTGTCTTCACTTTACGTCGCACCTGATGAAAACACAAAAAAAAGGAATTAGACTGCAAATGATGCTAGGAAGCTACTGTTTCTGTCTGTCTCTCGGTCTCACACACAAAAACAGACAGGAACCCACACATGCACACCTACTGATATGCACACACACTACAACCACTCCTGGGATGTCGTCCGTCTATCTGCCTGTCAAACATGGTATCTCAGCTGAAATCACAGACACTGACTTGCCAAATATTTGTAGTGTTCAGAATTTGTTTTTAATCTACACTTACTGGTGATTCAAGATTAAAATGCTCAACTCAAATGTTATATGGCATTGACAGGATGATGTATTTTGTCAGTGTATTCTGGCGTTTAAAAAAATCACATTGACTCGTCCAGCAAAGGGTCAGTACTGCCCTAAAAGAACAACTAAACAAACAGTGAAACTGAGAAAAAGCTAAAACAGCAGTTATGTGCTTATTGAATATGTATTCTCTAAGTAATTATTATGGCTTACAGATCATGACCAATTTTTTGACCTGTGGCCCCAAAAATACTGCACTCTGTCTTTGTATTACCATAAACAGATACATAGGTGGTGCAAAGCCAGAGTTCATTAACTACATTCTGAGTGTCTTCCTCCTGACAAAATCTAAATCTAATTTGACATCTTATTACATTCAATCTGTATTTCTTATTGTTTCATGTGTAACAAAAATGTAAGTATTAGTTTGTGAGGTTTATTTAGCACAGTAATCCTTTGTTCTGTCTAGCTAGCTAATACTAGTCAGCAATACCGTGTCCTGTCTAGCTAGTTAGCACTAGCACATGCACAGTAATATCCAAACTATTATTACAATCGGCTCAACTAATAATACACAGATTCACAGTGGAGAACAGAGAAGATTCCCTTTACTGAAACTCTGATAAACTGTGGTAGGGTGCAGTAACTGCACTTAATGTGGTTTGTCTTGGTTTTTGGTTGGATTTTTTTTTAGTCATAATTCAATTTTAATTAAATAATTATAGTTACTGTGGTTTTGCTTTGTAGGGCAGAGTAATTAAAAGTCAAAATTTCAAAACTTGGAATGACCATATCTTCTACAATACAGGTCTACTTTGAATTTGAAAGGCTGATGGATCGTCTTATTGTTTGGCCCAGGGGTGTTCTTTACAGCTGTTGGCATGCTTACAGGTTTATGCAGTCGGTTGTTATTATACTATTCAAAAGGTCCCATTAATACCTTCTGCGTGCCTGTAAAAACATAAATATCCGTGTAGAAAAGACTGACCTGAATCACAAGCACCCAGATGCGTAGATAACAGAAGGTAACCACTGCAATGGGAACCAAGAAGTGAATCACGACAACTGCCACTGTGTAGGAACTGCTGACATTCTGGGCGAAGGTGCAGGAGTAGACCCGTGGATCGTAGCGCAGGGAACCGACGAAGAAATTGGGGATAATGGCTACTACCGTGAGCACCCAGATTAAGGCAACAAACAGAAGAGTGTTGCGATAGCTGTACAGCCGACTGTAGGAGAATGAGTGACAGATGTAGCAGTATCTGTTCACTGCAATCCCAGTGATGTTGAAAATGGAACCGATAACGCTCAGCCCCATCAAGAAACCACTGACCTGAACACCGGACAAAAAGAAAGAAAGTGAAGTGTTTCTGTCAGATTGTATTGGTAGTTAAACTGAAACATGCTGACGTCACGTATGTGGCCTTACCATGCATTGTGTGTTTCCCAGTGCCCATCCGTCATGGAAGAGGGCGTAGAGAACCAAGGGGTAGGGGTAAAAGGCTACCACAAGGTCAGCAAATGCCAAACTGACCACAAACACATTACCTGGAGAGGAAGACACAGAGAAACAGTCTCTTAAATATACAGTAACTTGTGCTCTGATTGTGAGATGAGTCACATGTTTTACTATGCCGGACACACTATGATCATACCACCATGTTAACACAGCATTCACCCTCTAATGTGGCTCTGATTGTTTGGCCCCTCATCTTATCATCTCAGTACAATGAATTTCCCTGCATGTCCTCAGCCACTCTGGATAAGTACAATCAAGCCTGGTGGCTCATTCCAGGCAGGAGTAGCCTCTATCCACTTTTGACGGTATTACATTTAAAGTGCTCACATTTTTTGCATACAAAACAATAGCATTCATATTTCAGTTTACATGCTCTTTATGTCTGATATTATGTTACAATGTCAGAGTTTTCCTCTTGTATTCACCTTTGTCATGTTGCCACAGTATGGTGGTACGCAAAATGTATCATTTACCAAATTGCTTCTATATGGCAACTAAAATAGGATTGTTTTTTCCTTAATTCAGGTATTGTCTGACAATATATGTGAGTTAAAATAATCAGAAAAAGCTGTTTATATTGCATTGTTTTATACTGAGTATTGTCCTTATCGGGCAATGATTGGACCTGGCAATTTTCAGTATACTAGAAGCCTATCTCAGTATGTCCAGCTTGGCGGGATTGATGGCAGAGAGGGCTGAGATTGCATACCAAAGGTTTCTAGCCTCTACTCCACAGCCGGTTGCCTCAACCTGGACAAAGTTTTATCAGCAATGGCAGAGTTGCTATGTTTTGACAGAGTAGAGGGACAAGCTTGTGGACACAGCACTTGAGCTTCCATAACACAGGGGCATGCAGGTCATTTTTCATCTAGCTGATCCCCAGCCTAAACTGTGGTCTGTGGTTCACAAAATCCAGTTGGTACGTCACGCAAATGAAGCATTGCTTTAGTTTAGGCGGAGCACTGTAGTTGCATTCACTAATTGGCTTCAGCTTCTTCATTCACGTTTCCTAGTAACGTCTGATTAGTAACATCCAGTCATATTGGATAGTGTACAAAAAAACAGCAATTATAACCTGACACTTGTCATTTTCCTTATACACTCTTGTTTTGTTAACAAAACTAAAAAAAAGGGGGCAGTCCCTTCTTCCAAATTTAACCATATAACTGCTAGCCAAAAAGTAGGTGCTGTCGTCTGAGCCGTATTCTAGGCTTGTTTGTTAGAAACAACATAGATGCTATTGTAAGCATTGACGGGGCTTACTGTGTAGGTTACTTATATGTGGCTCACCTCGGGTTTTACCTACAGATACCTGCAGAGGTAATTTGCAGAGCAACATTTACACTCTCAATGCACGAACAACAACTACTGATCGTTCCCTTATTTGTCAGGAGGAACTTGAAGTACTGGAGGGACCGAACATCTGTTTTAGTAACTACAGTGTGTGCACATGTGGCTCTGGTGTGTGGCTGTCAACCTAGAACTGTCACTATGCACCATGATGCACAAAGTGGAGACAGCAATTCAGCACCTCCTGTACAAGGACATCAGCTCCCTCCTTTCGTAGAGAAATCACTTTGGACTCCTCTTGTACATCAATAAAAGTGTCAGAGTACTATGGGACAGAACGCTCTGCTCCCAATAGAAAGGAATAGATGAAATTTGACTGTTCATGATCAAACTTAGGCCTTCTTCAACTAATAAGATGTTCTTATGAAAAAAGACAGATAATAAATTATATTTATTAAAACAAAATATTGCACAAATTGTGAAACTGTATCTCTATTCCAGGTGTACATTTTAAAATTCATTGAGGGTTTAACACCCTAAACTGTGAATAAATGTTTGTTTAAAAAAAAAAAGCATAACGTGCATTTCCAAGTCACCACGTTTATACAATAATCAAATAAACTGTGAAGTACAACAAATAAACGACTCAAAGCACTTTCCAAGAAAAAGTGTGTGACAAGAGAAACAGAAATAAAAATGTGCCTCTTGATGATTTAGGATCCATATCCCAACAAGCCTCCAGACAAACCAAACTATCACACAATGCTTATAGTCTTTGAATGTGAATGTCAATGATAAACGCTACTGTACAATAGTGTGTTGTAAATCACACACATGCACAGGGCATTTTTCCTACATAAAATGTAAAATAAAAAAAAATAAAAATTGATTAAGTGGTGTAAATCTTCTACATCAGTCTAAAGTTAGTTAATTTCCTGTTTAAGCAACACACATTTTACAAATGCATACACTTTACATTATTAATATATTATTTTATGACAACCATGGAACAAGGCACAACATGCAAAAAACGGTGGCTCTACATTCCTTGACCATATCAATACAGTATATCAAACAGTCTCCAGGTTATAGGATTTGTCTTTCATATAATATGTACTGATTGAAAAAACAACACTAAGAGTTACAGTCATGCTAGCTGCTTTTTGAGGTTGTATTTAGGCACATTGGGGCTTTGAGCTAAATGCTAACATACACACATACATCCTGTAGTTGTCAGAATATTTCACTCCTGACCAAAGTGTTAGAACAGCCAGGCGACTGACTGACAGCGCAGCATTGCCATCCTTTAAAACATGCCAAAAACATATTCCTGCTTAAATACACAAACACTGAATAAAATGTAATGTAAATATGGCTAGGAAACGAAACTGCTCTATGTCATTAAAATGTAGGGTTAAACGTAAATATTTGCTTCAGTTTTAGTTAGACAATGAACACATGGGAATTCCAGTATCAGTCTAATAATAACTTAACTATAGCTCAGCAGGTGTGTGTGTGTGTGTATGTGCATTTGTGCCTGTCTGTCTTACAATGGATGACTCTTTAAACTCCTGACGTCTAGAGAGAAAAATGATTTAGGAAGTCGCAGCATTAGCCTTAGTCACAGCAAACTAAATATATACAGTATGTTAATAAGAAAAAATGTCTCAGTCTGGATAAATACACGTGCGCGGTTGTGGCAAATGCACCATGGCATCTTCAATTACTGTCTGACTTCATAATCCAGCACTGTTCAATCTGTCCAGTGTATTTGAATAGAAATCAAACATGTGAAGCAGGGAGAAAGAACCTACTGTATAATGGAAAGGGGAGATGACGTTCTTTATCTTTAAAAAAAGCTTATGAGTCTTTTCATTACTCTTCAAACGTGATGAAGCAGAAATTATATTTTTGGGTCTAATAGACAAATGTTCATTATTAACTGGTCTGCATGTGTGTGTGGGCATGGGTGTCCCACATAAATAAATAAACTAGGTGCACACAAAGGTATACAATAAACAGACAGAGAGCAAAGAACGGTCGGACTGTTTGTGCTTCAATCTCACCTTGAGGCTACAGCAGTCTTTACAGGGAAGACTTTTGAGACGAAAAAACTTTATGCAAAACAAAACCCTATTTAACTAGTTCTTTTTAAAAATGTTTGCTATTCCTTCCATGCAGAAGTTTGTGAGGTTAACCCTACTGCTCTTATACTTCATTTCTTTTTTCTCATTGTGTATATATATATATATATATATATACATAAAACATATCTCTTGTAGTTGTCTATCCTATCTTCTTGTTCTTGCAGCATTCACTATTTAAAAAAAAATGCTCTTTCATTCTTTTTTTCCATACAAACACTCTTTTGCATGCTGTAGGAACATCAATTTGAGCAAGTACATGGATAGATCCCGTTAATAATTACTGCTCAAGTTTTGGATAATTAACTATTTGAGTTTTTTATTTGGGCTTCATAAAATTAATGCTCCAACAACAGTGCTTGGTAATCACTTGGCTTAGAGAATGAGACCATTTTAATCATGGTTGTTATGGCATTGAGTTAAAATTATGCAGTTACATTTTTAAAAATGGTCTTTAAGTGTTTGAGTCAGTCATCGTGCTATCAAAGTTATTGTACTAAGGTGCAAAATATTTTACAGAAATGAGACAGTTTCTTTTGAATTGATTTCTAATTAATTCAGAAATTATTCTCCCACCTTCATAACTCAATGCCTGGAAATATTTTTCCTTAAAAAGGTTCTCTGCACAATCAAAAATGACTGCGTATAAAGGTTTTATGATAATTATGGGATTTTGATTTTCAATTTACATGTTGAAGTGAGTCACCTCAAACACAAAGAGTGCAGCACATTTATAACTGTGAAGGTTCAGCCGTGTGTACTCCGGTTTTAAAGTGTTCGGACAATTATCACACAGCTTTTAAAAATTCAACCACCACCATGTCTAAACTGTGAAATGTGTGACCTATAAAATGACCCGCTGTTCCACTACACTGCCATGTTGTCACGCTACATGAGAAATAACAAGAATTACATAAACTCCTATATAGCTGTACAGCTGTTTTGAGGCTCTCGCTCGTGGATAACCGTGCACTAAATCAGATTTCATGTAGTTTTTCCAAATCTAGTGTTTGTTTAATTGTTTTCTGTGGAAGTGCTGTTATGTTTATTCATTAATGTGAGAGTAGTTTATTTTATTTGAGAGGTAATGAGCAACGTAAAAAAGGAAAGTAAATGACATGATGTTACATTTGTTGAGTGAATATTAAGAGATATGATGGTGTAACTGGTGTAAAAAGGCAAGGACTTTTTTGTTTTTACTTAAACACACAGCTAATGGCCATGTATCAGAACTGTTATAAAGCTGAAAAAACAAAGTAATTATCAACAAAAAAATGAGATAAGCTGCCATTGCCACATGTGCACTGGCTCTGGCATGGACCCAGGAAATCTGGGTCTGTGTGTGTGTGTGAGAGAGCGCCATAGCTGGCCTGCTTCATTTCTCTGCCATCAGCCTGCTAGAGAGCAGCGCACATTTGACAAAGCAGCAAACAAGTGTTTCACATGTGGCAAGCATAGATGCAATGCCGACACACCTGTGAGGAATTTCTGAACCATCTGTTCACTAAAGCCATGGATTATGATGATGATCACATTTCGTAATTATTCACCCTGCAGATGAGAGTTTAAGCTTAAATGTATATGTGTATATAGTT